AAAGGAACTGAGACAATCAGAACCTGAAATAAATATTCTGAAAGTGAAATAAGGAAATCTGTGTGGCAAAATATAATGTAGGTGATATAGGCAAATGTTTCATGAAGTGGAAATCAAATTTCAGATATCAAAGAAATGTAGCATAAATAAGAGGTATAAAAATAGGTGCAGTGTGAAATAAATGATGTATGAAAAGAAGTGGATGCTGATTGAGATGAAATAAGAATATCTGGGATGAGGAAGCAAACATTTGGGATAAAATATTACTTGTAGTCTGACTAAATGATATCTAATATGAATTATATGATATTTGCTGAAAGATTAGTATCATAGAAGGAAGTTAATGTGGGAAGACTGATTTGTATCCTGAAGTGTGTGATATGTAATATGTTGTAGCTATGTAGTAACATATATTATGTAGCCAAATGAATATAAAACAAATATTTCATAATTTTCTGAACTAAATACAACACAATATATTGTGTAGCTTGTGTATATCTGGTTGTAATATCATGAAAACTTATATTTATAGCTATTTTGTACTGGGTATGACCTTGATTGGTCTTACCCCACCTTTTGAGGGGGAGCAACTCACAACCCCCCCCCCATTTTGGAGGGGTGGTTTGGGCCACTGAACCCCTAAAAATCAAATGAAAAATATCATCATTTAAATTTTATGGATGACTCCAGAAATGGGCCCCTATTTTAGTCAACAAATCCCAAAGGAAGTAGTCCATCAACAGTCCTTGGGAGTTGTCAACTAAAATTTGTGAGTTATATTTCTATTTGGTTGGCTATATGACTCCCTATGTGCTTGGATTTTCACAATTGGCTTACCACACTGCTTGATGAGGTTTTTATGCCTCATTGACCAGAAGGAAATCAATCTGGTTGGTGAGGTTGTAATACATTACACTACAAACAATACCAGTTTTGCCCCAGAAAAAAATGGCAATTTGTGTGGTGGAAAACACTTCAATTTCCTGAGGCTTTTTCTACACAATGACTCAGGAGTAAAAATTAAGCTCAAATGAGCTATATTAGCCCTCATCAA